AAAAAAAAAAAAAAAAAAAAAAAAAAAAGAAGAAGAAGAAGAAGATTTGGATTACAAACGAGTCCGCTGCAGTGCATTCGTTCAGCTTCAAATTTCACGATGGTTTTCAAAGGGAATTCGTTTCCCTTTCAAGGGGTTCAGGGGCTTTTTTTTTTTGGGTGGTGGGGGGGGGAGGGGTTGAAAAAGGCTCACTGTAAAGGTGGGGTATATTAGAAGTTCTCACACTTCTCCGATTGGTAGTCTCCGTTTTGTTTTTTTGCATGCTCTGAATTCACACAGGATTGACCCGATGCCATTTAAATTGATTTAATGGCATTTATTTAAAGTCCAAAGTTTGAACAGTTTTGCCGCCTCCCCACCAATAGATGGAGCTCCCCCCAGGTGTTAGCGGTGTCTGCTCTTATCAGCACCACTAACACTGACGGGGGCGTGTTTTCAAAAAAAAAAGAATTGCAATGCAACCTAGGCTACCAGCCGGGCCGCCCGGGTCCCGGGTGGCCAGACCGTGCAAGGATCAGGTAAGGTCCCAGCAAAAAAAAAAAAAAAAACTCCGAAAATTCTGAAAAACAAACTATGTTATGCAGAAAAATAAACTGAACAACTTTTGCCTCAGGGTCACATCGAAATTCTTCACCAAATTTAAAATAAAAAATAAAATTCAAAAATATATATATATATATTTTTTATTATTATTTTGGCCCGGCCGGGCAAGTGACCCCGGGCCACTCTGGTAGCCTAGAATGCAACTTTTTCAAGCTTGTTATTCTTGTCCATCTTCCTTGATGCCTCCACTTCTTGTGTGCTTATAGCCTCGTACCCTCTTGGCTATGACACTTCAATGTGAACACTTTTCATGTCGTTCGAAAAAAATTTCAAACTTTTTCCCCCTGAGACCACTGATTTAGCCAAACTATAAGAGTTGACACCAAGGGCCGCGGTCCACTACTCAGCAGTATACATGCATTTGGACGGTTTCTGGACCAGGTGCATTCGAAGAAGCCCAACATTTTGAATGTGTCAGTGCGATTACGAGGACCAGATACATACATGCAAAGCGTTGTGTTGTGGAGTGAGGCCCTAAAACATATTTAGCTCATTGCTGTCCTCTCAACTCTGTTTTCCTTCCAATTCCTTGTGTGGGTCGATGTTTTATTATTTTTGTATTGTACGCTTCCCCCGCTGTGGATAAAACCTGGATATCTTTGTGGGACTCCTTATCACGCACGTGTTTATTGTAACTGGCTTATCAATTTTATGTCGATCTTCCTACATACCTTTGTGCCTGTAATGTGCCGTTGCTGTTCCCTCTGCGTATGTTTGGCTCCTGGCATGACTGCTACAGCAAAAGGGACTTTATCAGTCATGCTGACGCAGAGACCGTGGATGCGTTACGAACAGCCTCCACCTTCAGACTGGGTTATTATCTCGGTCGGCAAGGCATGTCCGAACCGTCTCGTGTACTCACTCTTCGTGCTTCTTTAGGCGGGGCCGACACGACGAACGTTCAATCTCCACGCAGTCATTTTCCAACTGCATCAGCATCGCAGAGAGTTGGTGCGGGAGACCCAGATATGCCTGTCAGCAGTTCAGATCTCCCAGCAAGGATCCGTCGTCGGATTGAGCAGGAATCGCACCAGTCCTCGCAAAAGGCGGGATCGCGACCAAGGACAGCATCATCCAGACTCTCCATGAGGCTGCCACTCCAAACCACAACTCCTCTACGCTCTGGGCAAATGTCAAGGATGCAAACTCCAGTAACTGCGAGGCGACGGCTTGCGAAGCAAACGCGTGCAGCAGCGCACAGTCCCCTGAGTGCTCCCATTGACTCATTCCCAGACGAGGTTGCAAATACCGATGGAGCGGGAGCTGAAGCGGGAGGAGGGGCAAATGCACCTTCTGACATTAAGAGAGCATTCATCACCGACGAAAACACACCTTTGCACAACCAAGTGGTTTCTTCCTCCGAGAATGTAGATGTGGGAGGTCTCAATACATCAAACGTCAACACCACAGCGTCAGATACAGGTCTTATCAATAGTGAGGGCAGCATAAAAGGGACTCTTCATCAGTCTAAGCCAAAGAAAAAGGTCACCCTCCTGCTGAACGAGGACGAGAAGGGGCGTCAGACCACTGGAATTTCACCCTTTGTTTCAGGATCAGCAGGGGAGGGTGAACGGCCGAAGGACGAGACGACCAGCAAACCACCTCAGTCATACCTGAGGGACGGGCATTCTCAAATGGCAGTGGCGAGCAACACTGTTGGTTCTATCAGGCCCAATCAGCTCTCACACTCCATCCATGCACGGGCAGGCGTACAGCAACAATCACCTCAACTAGCGCACGGGGAAGGTGATGTGGATGATATCCGCCAGGATGCTCTGCTTGTTGCAGAGCAGCCAACAGATGTTCTTGTTCCGCATGAAGAGGGTCGCTATGGGGCCAGAAGACCTAGAGTAGGGCGCTTGTCCCGTGCCTCCAAGGGGTTGGTGAGGGGACCGCAGCAATCGACCACTAGCATGAGGAGGCCTACGAAGCGGTCCATGCCTGCTCCACGCTCTATATCTGCCCCAGGCTGGAATCCGCAAGCAAAACTGCCTGCAAAGAGTGGCCCAGCACTTGGGCAGGACCGACCTCGCACGGCATTGGGCTTCAGCGTGGCTGCGGCCGCATCACCTGAACCAGTGCCCTCGCCTGCCTCACCCCGAGTCCTACGCAAGAAGCTTGGGAAACTGAGCAGATTGAGCCCGCTGCTGCAGCAGCGCCGTCTGGAGGGAGAACATCACAATCGCAATAAACAATTTCGGACTGCAGAAGCCTCCAGTGGAGCAACAGCAACAGAAGTATCGCTGAAGCCTGTGCTGGTAAAAAGTGCTGATGTCATTCACAGCAAGTTGGATGCTCTGAAATGTCTGGAGCTTCTCAGGCTCAGCCCCACCGCTCCTGTAGCAACAGTCGTTTTTGGAACTGGACCTCTGAGGAAGGAAACTGGAAGTCCAACAGACAAGGAACAGCCCAAGGAAAACAAACTGTTCAGCCAGCAAGAGTTCAAGAGGCGGTATAGCCGTTACAGGAGCATCAATTATTCGGAGGACGTATTGATCCGGAAGGCACAACACGAAGCCGACAAGGAAAAGAATCTCAAGCGAAGAAAAAGCAGTGCAGTCAGTGAAGAAGCCTCCCTCCCTCTCCCATCCTCTTCAAGAAAGCGACAGCACGTTCGTACTGAGTTTGACATGGATGAGGATGTCCAGTGGGATTGGAGCGAGCTAATCACCGGCCAGAAGCAAGCCAATCGGAGATTATCAGTGGCAAAAGCTGAAGATGCTTCGGGGGGTTCGACAACGGCAAATCAGATGGGCAATCAACCTGCTGCCGGAGAACCGAACAATGCCCAGGGTCGGCGAGGCAGTCGTCTACTTCGCCGACGTGCATCCTCTTCCTTATCTAGCTTGGCAAAGTTTGCTTTGCAGCTGTCTTCTTCTAAGCGCGACGCTCCTCAGGCTGCTCGGATTCTGAGCCCGGCACAGAGGCGTTCTTTGTCCGCTACAAATGAATCTCCCACTATTGCAGAAGACACTCTCAACGACAAGATTGTCCAGACTCGTGGGCAGCGACTCTCTAACTTGCTCTCTCTTGCCAACTGGTCCAGCTTGTACCCACCCTTTTCAGACCCACTTTCTGAGACTCTGCAAGGGATGAAGAAAGCAGACGAGCGCTCCGCCAAGGGTCTCCGTAGTTCAAGTAAGCACACTGGCTTGCTGCCTGGAGAATCCCGTAAAATGTCCATGACCGCTGATTCCATTCTATACCACCAAAGGTACCCCTACTTTGCCAAAATGAGAGACTTATTGTAGACGAATGCTAGGCATCAAGATTGAAATTGGAACGATACACAGAAGATCTTTTCCTTGGCCCCTGCGCTTTCAAGGATGACACGCATTAAAAAAAAAAAGGATGACACGCATAAATCGAGAAATGGTCCAAAAAAAAAAAAAAAAAAAAAAAAAAAAAAAAAAAAAAAAAAAGATTCAACATTGGTCAAATTGATGCAGATGTAACAGGCTTGACTTGTCGCCGTGGAATACATCATGCCACTATCTAGTTGCAGTCATGTGATGTGACTCCATCGCGCGTCTGCCTATCATTAACTGCTCAAGTGAGTAAACAGTACACAGTACTACGCACATCTGACTGCTGTTAGTGAACAGATCATCAGTTCAAGTCCTGATGGATGACATGGAATCGAATGGATACCATAACAATAGCAGCTAACACCCTTTTGAAGAAAAGAAAAAAGTGCCCCCTACTTTTGAGGAACAAATTTGAGCAAGAGAGATATAATTATTAATTACTGTTGCTGAGTTACCTAAGCAGGAATAAGTTGCGATAACTGGTACCTTGGCCTGTTTTCTTCATGCTCAATTTGGAAATCAATCATAGCAATCTCCTACCTGTCCAGTTGACTGCGTAGGAGTCACCAGCTCTGCAGCATTGTTGGGGTGATTGCAGGTCTGATGGACCAAAACTGGAGAAATCTAGCAAAAATTTTGACACAAGAATAAAATACTAAAAAAAATAGTATATAATACTTATATATTTATTATATTATATTATATAGGATATATAAAGTTATAAACTAGGCTACATAATTGGCCTGGCCAAGTGCAGCCAGGTAGCCAGACCAGTGACCGGGCAGCAAAATTGCACCAAAATTTCAAAAAAAAAAAAACAAAACCTGCGTTCAGGGTAGATCNGAGAGAGAGAGAGAGAGAGAGAGACGATGATGGAGATGACAATGGGGGATGGGGACGAAGGAGTGACGATGGATGACCATGATGACGGGGGAGGAGCGCGGAGGGAGGGAGGAGGGAGGCTAAGGCGCGATGATGCGTACTTCGAATGCAGGTAAGCATGACATCTCCCCTAAAAAAGAACAAATAGACGGAATGACGATATTAATGAAAAGTTCGAACTTCAAAAACAGGCTATATCTGCGTGGGAAAATAAAAAACAGTAATGAGTCAAGTATTAGCACACCGGGCGCACAGGCCTGAAGGCGCACAGCGCACTGCGCATTGACACTGCACACTATGCACAGCGCCCGGCGCACCGGCGCACACTGCACACACCACACAGGGGCGCTGCAAGTATGGCCACAATACATCAGCCACTGGACCCATTCATATCTGTTCTGGCAGAGAACATCAGCCAAAGCAACCATCGCCCCTGAAACATCCCTGTGGAGGACTCTACTACCGTCTTCCCCTGAATAGAACATACAGTGATTATCATTCTATGTAGACTGAAAAAAAAAAAAAAAAAAAAAAAAAAAAAAAAAAAAAAAAAAAAAAAAAAAAAAAAAAAAAAAAAAAAAAAAAAAAAAAAAAAAAGGGGGGGGGTTGTCATTCCTTAGGGCCCCCAACTCGGCAAAAATGTTAAACTCACAGCGCGAGCTCGGAAACCGGGCGCACCCTCGGCCCGGATTTCTTTTTTGGGCAAGGGCTGCCGAATTTCGATTTCCACAGGCCCTACCACCAGAAGTTTCAAAATGGCAAACATAAAATAGGGCTCATCCCAACTTTCTTTTTGCGGGGGTTGGGAAACTGGACTTCCACTTCCCTTCTGCAAATCCCACGCAGTGGCGGGGTACGTTCGCAAGACGGGAGTAGTCGCTATATAACAATCTGCTATGCGCAGCTTCGCAGAGGTCACAAATTGCACTTTCACGGCCAGCCGACAACCAATATATGTCGAAGATTGGAGTTCAGGTCTGCATGTCGGCAGTTATGGGTTAGGATGAAGATGCCCATAGCTCTCTCGTTTTTTTGTTTTTGTTTTCTTACGACTACGTACAGTGGGGCCTGCTCCAGTACTCACCACATGCACAAAAGAAATAGCATATGGCGGTGTATGGTCCCATGTTTTAGCAGAAGATTCCTTCTGCTAATATTATATTATATACATTTGGTTAGTGGTGAAGGGAGGATGAAGATGCCCGTAGCTCTCTCGTTTTTTCGTTTTTGTTTTCTTGGTTTTTCGTTTTTGTTTTCTTACGAATACTTACAGTGGGGCCTGCTCCACTACTCACCACATGCACAAAAGACATAGCATATGGCAGTGTATGGTTCCATGTTTTAGCAGAAGATTCGTTCTGTTAATATTATATACATTTGGTGAGTGGTGGAGGGAGGCCCTGAGAATCACGTGGAGACACGAACAGGCTCTAGCTGACTTGGTGACCCATAACCGCGGAGCTACAGCCCTGAACTCGAATCCCAAAGCACCTTGTCTACAGATGACGAGGCCATCCTTCTGATTGAAGCAGTCGGACTTAATAACTTCACATGCACCATAACCTCATAGGAGTTATTCGAGGTACCTGCAGGGGCCCTCAAATTGACGTGAAGGGGACCCTTTGTTATCTCTCTCTCTCTTTGTCTCTCTCTCTCGGGGATCTGTCTTTGTTTTCTTTTTTTTTTTATCGCGCACAGGGCGCACCCCGCACAGCGGACCACACTGCGCAGTGCGCACAGCGCACGGCGGCGCACAGTCCGCGCGCTGTCATTCCAGCGCAGTGCGCACCGCCCCGTACCGAACTGTGCACTGGTGCGCTTTAACTATGACACGAGGTTAATGGAAGGCCCGAAATTCGGGGTTTTTCGCCGCATCACTAAAGCAATGTTGTCGAAAATTTTGCGAACAAAACTAAATACAGATATACCCTCCCAAAATTTGGGGGTTTTCGCCGCATCACTACAAGCAGTGTCGTCGAAAATTTTGCGAAGAAAACTAAATACAGATATACCCTCAATTAGGCCGTCAAACACATACATATCACACACACAAAAACAAAACAAGAGAAAATTAAAAATTCAGGGAAATATGACAGTTTCGGTGAAAAAATCGTCGAAAACAACACCACCCGTTCACCACGAGCGGTAACAAGATGCATGCACGAAAGCAGTGCTGAAGATTGTACTCGAACAGACCCAACACACCAAATTGAGAACTCAGTAGCAAGATGCACTTCGTTGAGAAGAACAACTGCGAGCAACACTGAAGCATGCACAAAAGCAATGCTGAAGCTTGCAGGAACAACACGGCTATGAACAACATGAGCACTAACAAAGCACCCTAAAGCACACAGCTAAGTCAAGATTCATTGCCAAGAACAGGCACAAGAGCGTGCGTATTACGCCCGGAACTCCTAGGACGTGATGAAGCCGATTGGCGTACCCCGACAGTCACGCAGTCCTCCTCAGAGGGGTTGACTGACCATTGCAATTAGCAAGAGAGGTGTATGATGATGTCGTTTCAACGTCTATTAATCGTGCTCAACATCCATGCCTACGATCTCCGAACCTCCTATTCGCCCCCTTTCCCGGAGTTCTAGAACAGGACTCTTCCTAGCCTCCTTTTGCGAGAGATGGTTAACGGGTGCATATATTTTCAGGTCTCCTTTCCAGTTAGTTCAGCCACTTTAGGTTACTACACCACTTTCAGATTGTGTGTGGATCTATACATGGGGTTGTCTAAAACCGCCTTCAAGCAGTTCAGCCACTTCAGGTTGATACACCACTTTCAGATTGCCTACAGATCCATTGCAAATGCTGGGATGGGGGTACCTGAAACCCCTTTTAGAAGCTTCAGCCACTTCAGCGGTTTCAGGTCCCCACCTGAAATTCCTGAAATGACCTAAAGTGGTTGAAGCTTCTGAAAGGGGTTTCAAGTACCACCATCCAACCATTTGGATGGGGGTACCTGAAACCCCTTTCAGAAGCTTCAGCCACTTCAACGGTTTCAGGTCCCCACCTGAAATTCCTGAAATGACCTGAAGTGGCTG